TGCTGAACTAGAGCAACAGTTGCACTCTTTGCCATATTGGAGGACTGATGGACATAACCATCTCATCATCAATTTATCAAGGAAATCGGAAACTCAGAACTTCATTTACAACATCAGCACAGGGCGCGCCATGATTGCCCAGTCCACCTTTTACGATGTGCAGTATCGACCGGGGTTTGATATTGTGGTATCGCCTCTGGTCCACGCTATGTCTGAGCCCAACTTCCTAGAAATCCCACCCCAGGTGCCAGTCAAGCGTAAATATCTGTTCAGTTTCCAGGGGGAGAAGATTGAGTCTCTCAGATCTAGCTTACAAGAGGTTCGCTCTTTCGAAGAGGAAATAGAAGGCAATGCTCCAGCTGACTATGACGATCGGATCATCACCACCTTGAAGGCTGTTCAGGACAGCAAGTTGGACTTTGTTTTGGTGGAGTTCACGTGTAAGAACCAGCCTAAGGCGAGTCTGCCCACTGAGTGGGCTCTGTGTGGAGAAAGGGATGACAGACTAGAGCTACTGAAGCTATCTACTTTTGCACTGATAATCACCCCAGGGGACACCCGTTTAGTGATCTCCGCTGGGTGTGCCATGAGACTGTTTGAGGCTCTGGAAGTTGGAGCCATCCCAGTGGTTCTTGGAGAGCAAGTTCAGCTACCCTATAATGATGTGATCCGGTGGAACGAGGCAGCCTTAATCATACCAAAGCCACGTATCACAGAAGTGCACTTTCTTCTGAGAAGCATTTCTGACAACGATCTCCTTGCCATGAGGAGGCAGGGCCGCTTCTTGTGGGAGACCTACTTCTCCACCTCTGACAACGTGTTCAGCACAGTCTTAGCTATCATAAGGACTCGAATTCAAATCCCGGCTGCTCCTATCCGCGAAGAAACTGCCATGGAGATTCCCCACCGGTCTGGCAAAGCTGCTGGTACAGACCCCAATATGGCCGACAACGGTGACCTGGACTTGGGGCCTGTGGAAACAGAACCACCCTATGCATCTCCCAAATATCTCCGCAATTTCACCCTCACTGCAATGGACATCTACAGGAACTGGAATTCTGCTCCGGGGCCTTTCCACCTCTTCCCCTACACTCCCTTTGACCCTGTTTTACCGTCAGAAGCAAAATTTTTGGGGTCTGGGACTGGATTTCGACCAATCGGTGGAGGAGCAGGTGGCTCTGGGAAGGAGTTCCAGGCTGCTTTGGGTGGCAACGTCCCCCGGGAGCAGTTCACAGTAGTGATGTTGACTTACGAGCGGGAGGAAGTGTTGATGAACTCCCTAGAAAGGCTCAATGGTCTCCCATACTTAAATAAAGTTGTGGTAGTGTGGAACTCTCCCAAACTTCCCTCTGAGGATCTCTTGTGGCCAGACATTGGCGTCCCAATCATGGTAAGAAAGATGTAGCTGCTATGGTCTCGCTTCCTGGTGGGGTTTGTGCGTTAAAGTTGGCTGTAGCTGTTCTGTAGCATGTCAAATCTTCTTAAGTCATCTAGGACGGCATTCATCTCTTGCAGATGTAGATATCTGTACCTGATCTGAGGCTTTATCAGCAGAGAAAAACAGGGAGATCACAGGTATGACTCATCTGACCCATTTTAGGTGTTTGCATGAGAATGCCATGGCTGGTGCTCTAGAAACGCCTGTTTCTCTCCACGGAGAGGCCAGTGTTCGGAGGCGGACGGCTGCGCTCTGCGAGTTGAATTGCTGTCATGAGAGAAATTTGTTCGGTGACCTTTGGGTTATGAAATACAGGAGCTGTTATGCGGGAGAGCCTAAATTGTAAAAATACGGGATCTTTAGAGGTGCCAAGTGTTTAGCAGTCGTGAAACAGTAATTGCTTGTGTGGAGCCTAATACGAATCTCGAGGCTTAAATCTAGAGATTCTTGCTGATTGAAAACCTTTGCTTAGGCTCTTTAAGTGTCTCTGTGAGGACAGTTGGCACCTTATAAATACATAAGTAGTGACTGTTTCTGCACTTCACTAGATAAATCTTTTATAAAAACAAAAGAGGGACCCGCTGAAGCCGTGCCTACTGCAAGGGCCTCAAAAGTCATTTATCACTTTATATTACACGGGGTGGCAGAGAAGGAAATAAAAGCCAAGGCCAGCGTCAGCAGGAGAGCTTCCATGCTCCAAATGTTGTAAGTGAGTTTTGCTTAGATTTGGGTTGATTCCTCCCACCCCCTTCAGTCAAACCCCTTCAAAGACCGAGGACATTCCTTTCCGTGCCCAGCTACTCACTTGCATATTGGCAGTGTTGCTTGTAAGAACTTAATTTTCCCTAAATTATTACTTATGTGTGTATTTTAGGGTTTCTCTGTCATCCCAGCATAACTTCCTGCACCGGCCGTTGTTAACAATTAATGTTAAATATAAATCTCCACGTGCCCTCGTAAAGAAAGCACGGGCATAGAGCCACTAACAAGAAGCGACACTGTGTTGCCTGAATCCGGTTGTGTTTAGAGGACAAATGGAAGGATAATGCCTTACAAATTAAGGGAGGGAAAAATAAAAGGGGGGAGATGGTACGTAAGTAGGCAAACTGCGTGTGGTTTATGTGACAGGACGCTACTAAGCTTAATAGCAATGTGAGCTTTATGCTTCACGCAAAGAGATTCATTGATTTAATATTTCATTTTATTATTATTGTGATGTATAAATCCTTCTGCTCACATTTAAAAACCCTTATGGTCCAGGGACAATGAGGAGAGAAAATTGCTTGGATAATTGCAAACTAATCTTTCACATTAGTCCTGTTGAATGCCTGAATTCTGCAAAAATCTTCGCATTGTGTCTGCTGAAAAACTGTGCACTCCTTCAGAGCTGAAGAGTGGGGATTGTTCTCTTGGAGTTGCTAATGGGTGTTATTTGTGAAAGAAAAAGTGTTTCTGTTGATGGACGTTAATGCCTTTTTTTACCCTGCTCTCATCTGCACATCCATTGTGTTGGAGGCCCACTGGCTTTTTTGGGGACTTTGACACACCACCAGTTGCTGCGTGTGGCCTTCGAGCCGCGCGCTGGGGTTTATGTGCTGCGGGGGGACCTTTGGTACCGCTCGGTTCAGGAGGAGGAAACTGTCTCCTGTCTGGTTTGGGATGTTGGGTGGTGACACTGCGCTCACGGCCAAGTGCTGGGGAACGGGCTGGAGCACGGTGAGCTCCTGCTGCGGTCCTTTCCGATAGAGCGTGTTGGTCTAATAATAGGTGTGCTTTCTTCCCATTTTTCTAAATCCCATTTTTTTGAAAGAGCCCAAGTCTCCCGGGATCTCTCCCAGTAGGCTTAACCCTCTGCAGCCTCCAGCCATCCGTCCCACCAAAGTGCTTGTTGCCAAGTCCATGTCCGGACTGGGTGTTTAAATCACGTTGGGAGTCTGCAGTGTTCATCTACATGCATGGTTGAGTGTGGTAATGATACAAAAACTTAGCTGGGCTTCATCGGACAGCAACAGATCCTAAGATCCGCTGTGGAAAAGCGCAACGAGAACTGGGGGAGCAGAGGTGCGGTTCCGTTTGAGCCTCGATGGCTGAGACGTGGGATATGCCTAGCCAGGGGAAGAGGCAGGTGGGCACGTGGGGCTGGCAGGAGACACAAACCCTTACGACTGTTGATGTTGAAAGAAGCTGCAGAGCTGTGAATCTGATTCCCTTATGGAGAAAAAAATGTCTTTTGATGGGGAATATCCAATTCTCTCAGATCTTGAAGCAGTGCTGCATCTCTGCGTAACAGACTTATTCCCAGTAACACTGGGGTTCAAAGAACTGTCCTGCATTCAAGTCCCATAGCACAGAGCTATGCGGAGGAAACTTGGGGGGAAGAGAAGCGGACGGGGGCAGATTTGGGGGCTCCCTCCTTGTGATTGAAGTGGGTCCGGGCACCATCTGACTGCGAGGAGCAGCGCAGCATGCGTCGGCGTAATCTGTGATCAAAGCACCCGAAGCCAGAAGGTTATTGAAGAAAATTACAGCCTAATGAGACAAAACAACGTGTGGAGCATGTCCCGGGCTGGAAGAGCCCGTGGAAGCATAATGTAGTCCTAAGTCCCACCAGGGCACTGCTGGAGCTCCAGAACTACACTGTGGTTATGCGGCTTCGTGCTAGCAGAATACTCCAAAGGAGAGGCGAGCTTCCTCCTTTAACCTTACTGCGTGGCGTGGCCTTAGGTCATCGCTCAGTTCCTTCAAACTTCGTTTGCAAACTGCGTGGCTTGGTTGTGATTTGGTCTGCCAAAGCAGGTTATGTGGTTTCTTTTCCCCGCTGGGCTGAGAGTTCATCAAGAGCAAAGCTTAAAGCTGCATTGGATCTTTGAATCTTTCATGGGTAATGAGATAAATAGGGCTACAGAAAACATTTGATTTTTTTAAAAACTTTTACTTAGATATGTATTTCTTGTGATGGCATAATTTACTAAAAAATCAGTAAGATTCCTTAGCTGCACGGGAGTCTCTGATAAAGTATTCTAGCCCTGTACTGAGCTTGAAGTGAATGGGTACAAATATAATTTAATATTAAGTTGTGTAGTCATTCAAGGCTGCCCCTGGAACAGATGTAGGTAGATTACCATCTAATTTAAAGTGCCTTTGTGTTGGAGTTGGGCTGTAAAAATTGTTCCTATATCACATTAAATAGCATCCCAGCAAAAAACAAAGGTTGTAAGGGAGAAGTCTTGTTTGTGCGAGCTTTAAAACTTGCTTTCTGCAAGTGTTTGTATCTCTGGCACTGTATGAGGAGAACCTCCTCAGACAGAAGAACCTGGAGAGCATCACCCTACCAGTGCCAACAGCGACATTGCAACCACTGCTTAACTACCGAGCACCTCCCTGCAGCGTTTGCACAGTGTTGATGCATCCTTCAAGATTCATCCTTCAAGATGTCTGCGGCATCTGGCAAAGTCACGGTATACTCAAGGAATTAAAAACTGCCCGGACCACCGGTCCCTGCCAGCAGTTGAGCTCTGCTCCGTTGTAGCAAGGGTGAGAGCCCTCCTGTACACGCCATTGCTGCGGTCGCTGAAGTCCCCGGCGTGGTGCTGCTATTTCCCTGCTTACGGAGAAGAAAAGGGGAAAGGGATTTGGATTACATCTCTGCTCTGAACAGGTGGAAGGAGACCGCACCTCTCAAGTGAGGTGGCGATACTTGACTGCTGCTCCTGCGCTGCCGCTGCACGCACGTTAATCTTGGAAAGATTTCCAGTGGCGGAATAAAGGAGGAGTCATTAAGGAGAAGATGGGGCTTGATCTTGGGATAGAGACTTCCAGCTTCCCCCTTCAGCATCTCTGCGCTCAGGATTTCTAAATAGCGTGTACAGGCGATGACAGGAGAAACCTCACTCTTTGCTTTGCAATTCTCTGACAGCGTTTTCATCCGCATGAATAGAAGTGAAGGGAAACAAATGAAACAAAACACTCAGGCAACCACACATCCAGCCCACGCAAACGGTAATAAGATGCACCCAAGAAGATTCACATCCTGCCGTGCTTTGCGGTGTGCTCGGCACCGGTGGGCTGCTGCTTTCTGGTTGTTGTAGGGCACTTGCTTGCAATTCCGCAGCAAACTTGCAGCACAGAGCCCAGTCCAGATGCTGAATAAACCCAGTACATGGTTTTAAGCAGCTCTTCAAATCCTCCAGAGCTGGTTCACCGGCTGTCTTCCATGCTGCTCTGAGCAGGACACGGGTTGGGACAGGATTAATTTTCCTGTTCTTGCTCTGGTTTTAATCGTAGAAACCTAAAAGAATGAGTTGAGCTTGGACAGCCGGAGTTACCTGAAGAGAGTTTGGTTTAATATATTTAATATGTATTTCAGAAGACTGTCAGTGCTGGATATGCCCTCGGTTCGGTGGGAAAAGCACAAAGCCCCAAGCAGCGGGGTGATCAAGCTGTGGAGCAGCTTGCACTCAAAACAGCTGTAGATCCTATAATGCAGCAATTAAATTATCCATTTCCCTTTCAGAAATTTCCTTAAAGCCCCCCAGAAGTTGCACTCCGAGCCGGGAAGGCAAACCGTGCGCTCCGCAGCCTCCCCTTACCTCCTCTCCTACCCACATTTCTGCGACCCACGGCCTGTGGGTCGTGCTCTGGAGATGGGAGGAGACCGGGAAAGGGAAGACTGAGCTCTGGAGGACACTGGATTTGGTTATAATCTCAAGTGAAAAAAATTCTCAGCCTGTTGCATGTACGCTCTGCCATCAGACTCCAGCCTCGTCGGGTCAGTCTGTCTCTTGCACTGGACGAAGATGCATTTTTCAGACATTTTTTCCCCCCGTCCTTGATAGTGTAAGTAGAAAGCATCTTGTTTTAAGTAAAGGTCTTGCCAGCCAGAGAGAGGAACCGCTGCTTTCGAACTGCCAGGGCTTCGTACTGTGTTGCGAGCCACAGCGATCTCTGCTTGC